GCTCCCAACCCACCACTGAGCAGTTCCCCGTGAGTCTGCGCCCGCCCACTCGGCACAGCTGCAGGAAGAGCTAGGCTGGGTTCAGTGCAGCAGATGCCCCCCCCCCCTTGGGAAGCTCTCAGCTAAAACACTCCTCCTTGGAGTAGACACTCTGGGGGTGACATCTGGGGCCTATCGCTCCCCATTGGAGTCCCCACAAAACCCTCCCGTGGTGCTAAGCCGCTCCCTGAGGAAGGCATGGCGGCTTGGTGATGTGTAGGGAGGGCCTGACCCTGCCTCCTGCTCTCTGGATAAGAGGTGAGGTAACGTGCTGTGCTCTGGGCATCTGTGTCAAGCCTTGCCCCAGTGGTGCCCTGCCCCTTGCACTAGCCTAAGTGTGTCTGTCCTCTTGCAGGTCTTTACAACTCCAGCACAGCAGCCAGTGGCCACCCCTCTGATGACCCCCAGCTACTCCTACACGACCCCCAGCCAACCAATTACAACACCGCAGTATCATCAGCTCCAGGCCAGTACTACACCCCAGTCCACCCAGTCGCAGCCATCATCCAGTTCCAGACAGAGGCAGCAGCCGAAGTGAGTAGCTCGTTCATGGTGCTGGATGTGTGCAGCTCTCTGCTGTCTTTGAGCCGCTCTTGGCCTGCCACACGAGCACTTCCCTGGCTGCAGGATACAGGTTCTGCCGTAACTCTGCCTGCTGCCAGGAGGGGGTGAGCTGAACAGGCCAGGGGGAGGGTGAACATTCAGCGTGTGCACCTGAAGGAGCTGCATGGCTGTGGTGCTCAAAGGGCAGGGAAAGAGGTGTCTGGCGAGAACTGTGGCTGAGCGAGGGTGAAGAGTGTAGTCACGGCCCATCGGCTCTGAGGAAATGCAATTCGGGCCGTGGTGCTGATGGAGGGTAAAGAAGCCAATCCAAGGGGCTGAGGGCTGGCTCCCTCCGATAGTGTGGCCCCGTTCCTTGGCCCCGCGTGAGGGCGGAACTGAGTCTGCTAAGGAAATTGGCCACAATGGGTCCCATTGACTAACAGCCACTCTGCAGCTGCGAGGAATCTGCAACCTCAGACATAACTGAACACGGCCCACGGAGTTCTGCAGGCATCCTAGAGCCGCTGCCTCAGGCTGCAGAGCCCGCGGGTCCCGGCATGCAGGGGGGAGGAAGTCTGCATGGGCTGCCTTTGAATAGAAGAGAGAGACTTTGGGGCATCCAGTAGCGTCATCCTTCTGCAAAGGCAGTGCCTGGGGAGGGAGGGGAAGGAAACTGACCCTGTTGGGCTCCTGCTAGTTGTATGTTTCACTTCCTGCTTCTGCCTGTCTAGGTCCAACAGCCATGCTGCAATCGATTGGGGGAAAATGGCCGAGCAGTGGCTACAGGAGAAGGAGGCTGAGCGGAGGAAACAGAAACAGAGGCTGACCCCTCGTCCATCTCCCAGCCCCATGATTGAGAGCACACCCATGTCCATTGCTGGGGACGCCACACCACTTCTGGATGAAATGGATCGATAGGCCTTGCTGGACCTGACCCTTAACCTCTGTTCTTTCTCTGGGGAGGGGAAGGGGAGGGAGAACAGCTGAGAACGAGTTCCCTTCCCTTCTCCACACAACTCCTATTTTATACTTCATAAAACGATGTGAAATGACACTTGGTGTGTCCACCCCCATGAGCTGATATACTTGGCAGGGCTGGTATAATTAGACACACACATAGATCATAGGAAGGGATGCTGCAGATGCCTCTGCGCACTAAACTTTGGTTCACCGTGTGGGAAGCTCAGCAGAACAGTTATAAAGGTCGAACGAGACCCTTTAGAAATGAACAGCGACCTGCTTTCACAGCCAAAGACTAGAAAGCAAACCTAGCAGGAGATGCAAGCTCTTGGCCTAGAGCGAAGTTTTATTTTGATCGTCTTGTATTCTGACCGTCGCCCATCCCCGTTCCGACCCACGGAACGAAATCACGTGGGGGCTCGGACAACTCAACCCAGATCCGCTGACGTTTCTGCTACTGTATGCTTGGTGGCTCCTTGTATAGTGGGCTCTGCAAAAACTCCACCAGCTGCCCCCGCTGTATTTGCAAGGGTGTGAGCAGCTCTGGGCGAGGGCTCTTGCCAGAGAGAGGAGCAGCTGTTCCACAGGCTCATCCTCTCCTGGCTTCATTTGGGACAATATTTATTCAGTTGGTTTTTAACTCAGACGGCAAAGCAAACCCCTGGGTAACAGCAGCTTTCCCAGGCGTTAGCAGGCCCTAAGGCACTGCAAGGGCAGCCACTCCTGGGGTGAGGAGAATGCAAATCAGCCTGAAGTGCATGTCCTCTGTCATACCGCTTAGCTCTCTCCACATGTAACCGAAAAGGGTGAATAAATAGTGTTTCTACTGAACACTAGTCTGGGGGTGTTCTCTTCTCATCCTGTATGGCCTGCCCGCTCCTCTCCACCACCGAGTGGAGTACAGCAGTGAGCCAGCAAATGCTCCTCTTGTGTTGCCCGAGTTGCCTGCTGGGTGCTGGTGGGTTGATGCTGAAGAATAGTTTGGGTTGAATGTGTTGTGTGGGGTTCTCAGCCCAGCGTATCAGGGCGACCCCCCTGGCGCTGCCCTCCCCTCTGTCCAAGCGGGAGCCAGGGATGAGGCTGACGGAACGCAGGCACTGTCTGTCCTGGGTCAGAAGCAGCCCTGAGGGCTCTGTTTCATACACTTCCCTGTATTTCCCCACCTGCCTTCTCCAGGAGGAGTTTGCCTGGAAGCAGGATTTTTGTTGCTTGATCTGCTCCTGTTTGGCTCTAATATCACAACCCACTGCTGGAAGTCCCAGAGGGCTCTCCCTCAGCTGGGAAAGGAGCAGACAACTCAGGAAACAAAGGTCCTGTTGCATCCAAGAGATGCACGAGACACGAAGGTGAAGCTGTTCTCCTGAGGAGTGCAGAGCCTGGCTTCCCTACAGCTCCCCGGGGGGCTGGTCTGACTGCATCCCTCTCCTTACCATGCAGGCGGGCCCTACTTGGGGGTAGATTAACAAGCATACTCACCTTATGCTGTTTGTTTATTTGTTCAGTTCTGTATGACAGGAAATTGACTATGGAGTAGCTCTCTGTGAGGGAACCTGCCAGAGAGTCATTGCTGCTCCTTATGGCTGTCTTTGGTTTTAGTTTTTTCCTTTTCCATCAATAAAATTCTACTTTTGGGATGTTGACTGTACCTAGCGTTCTCCCTGCCTACTGCACTAACGCTCTCCTCTCCGTAAGCCACCTCCTGCCCTGCTCTGCTCTAGGGATGCCAGGTGGAGCTGCCCCACCATCTCTCTGCTCTGGCGGGATGGGTTTGGTCTGATCTCCAGAGAGATGACTGGGAAGACGTGCACGAGCTGCTGCTAGTAGCAAACGGGAGCCTGGGTTTCCCATCTTGTATCCCAGGCCCTCCCTCTGCAAGTCGAGATCCCCTCCAACACCCTGCATCCTTCAGCAGAGGAAGAGTTAGTGCCAAGCTGGCTGCAGCACTACATCGCTCCCATTTGCACCCAGGGCATCTCTTGAAGGACTCTGCCTAGCGGCGTTTGGCTGAGCTCGGAGACATTGCACCGTGGCTTTAAAGGTCTCTCTTCTGCTATCGCTCTTGCCTGTGGCCGCTTGCTAGGGATGGAAAGCTTTGGAAAGGACGTTTCCAGGGTCAAGTTGTCTACAAAACACTTGCACACTCTGAGCTGCACTGCTGTGCCCGAGTGACAAGCAGCACACTTGGCTCTGTGCAGGGCCCATGGTAAACGGGCTGCTCGCTTGTGATGTGGGTCTGGGTTCTCATGATCCTTTGTCTAAGGGCAGGACAATGGCCCATCCTCTCGTGAGCAGGGGCTGTTCTCTTACTGTATTTGAAGAGTCCTGCAGGAGGCGGTGCCAGGTTTAAATCAAGATCTCCCTAAAAGTCTGAAACTGTAAACGCTCCTGTGTTTTTTTGCTTTAGCACTGCGTGCTCTGGGTGGCTGGGTAACGCTGTGAGAGGCCTCATTGCATGGACAGGTACCCCCAGCACCTCGTACCCGGGCTCCTGTGTCTGAAAGTGAGATAAAGATCTTCTGGCCAAACCCTGATTTTAAATGAAGGCTTTTTTAGTCTCCTGCGAGCCCTCACTAGAATGGCTTGCCTGGCTCCAGAGTGGAGCTCACTGAGAAAATACCTCCCAGGCATTGGTGGGTCTGTTTTCCAGCATGATGTTTGCATCTCTCAGGGCAGAATGAGAGGGGGCGCAGTGCTTTCCTGATCTGTGTCATTAGGGGCAAACCTCTGCCTTGTGCCTTCTTAGCGATTCATACACATTTCATCCAAGTGCTCGGCTAGTGCCGGCGAGACCTTGAGCCGATTGGGGATCCTTCGGGCACATCCTCCACTCGCTTGATCGCCCAGTGGCTGCGGCAAAGCAGACGAAGTCCACATAGTGAGAGACCTTTACTATTAGAGCTGCAGGCTAAGCAGCCAGGGGCGCCCTGGCTCCAGAACACCGTATCCTTGCCGGGTAAGTGGGCATGAGGGTAACGGTCACAAGTGCCCCTCCAGGAGCCGCCAGCTGTGTGTATAGCGCAGGCCGGGCCCTGGCCCTTACACGCTAATTTGGCATGTAGCTGTATGCAGGGCACTGACCCTCTCGGTCACATGGAGTTAGTACCTGCCTGCTGGCCAGAGGGGGGGGGGGTGTGAAACTCAGCATTGGAGCAGGGCAGAGAATTATTATCAACTCCCAAGCTCGGTAAGTGGCTTGAGAACTGCTCCAGCAGCAACCCCATTCCGGAAGAAACAGATGAAGGAAAAGCTGCAATTAGTGAACGAATGCCCCAAATCAAGGTACGGACGAGCCATGTGAGCTAAAGTGGGGTATGGGCAGGGAAACGCATGTCCTGCCCTTAACTCAGGGCAGGAAATCTGCCTGCCCCTCCTCCCTCTGCCATTCCTGCCCTGCCAGCTTGCAGGGAAAACAACTCTGTGCCTGAGCTGAGCAATGTGAAATGAGAAAGCATGAAGGGTGAGGAGTAACTCAGACTAGTTCTTTAATAACCTGCGCTCCTCTCCCAGCGCCCAACACTCGCACCCAGCGGGATCCTTTCTGAAAGCCTGAGGTGCTGCCTGCCGGGCCTAGACCAAACAATCACCCAGTTCACAGAAACCAAAGAGACCAAGTGCTGCTCTGGGAGGGTCAGGTGCTGGGCTGGCCTCACCGAGCTAACCAGGGGCCCCGGCTCACCAGTCCCGGGACGTGAGGATTAGCCTGAAGAATTCTCCCCCGCTGCTCTGCCCAGCTCTCGCCGCTGTTCTCAGTGTCCCATTGTGCTGCTGTTTCCCCTCCAACCAAGGTTATTTCTCTGTGGGGGGGCAGGAACGGCAGCCCCCATCACTATCCTCAGGGCCCTGGAGCTGGCAACCCCCTGGGAGTCTCACTTTAAAAGGCAGCCAAGCAAAGGGGCTGGATGGGTGTTTTCCGAGGGGGCAGTTAGCATGTCCCCTAACATGTCAGTAAAGCAAAAAGGACCAGGGCCAGAGTATCTCCTGGGAACCCCTGGTGCAATGACCCATTTCGGGGGGCGGGGGAAATACAGGAGCTGAGGTGGGAGCAAGAACGAGACAGCTACTCGCTCTGCACAGTCGTGCAGCGATCACACACGTGCTCTCCCTCGTCCGTTTCTACCCTTCCCCAGGGGCTGTCGTCTTGCCTGGCCCCTTCAGGGCCGGGACTGGGCCGTTAGCTGCATGGCCAGCGCTGGTGCTACCGCGGTGCCTGCCCGTCCGCTGGGAGAGCGAGGGTGGAACAGGCACTAGCAGGGGCTTCTGGCCAGGCCCCTTCCCCCGCAGCAGGCAGCGTTCTCCCCCATTCGGCTGTGCTACGCGCGCTGCTGGATTAGATCTGGGGGGCACGTGCCTTTCCTGTTCCTTGGCCCGCTTTGCAAAGGGACTAAATTGCATTGTCACCTCTCTCCTGGGCAAACATTTCAACAGCGCTGGGACTCAGCAGCCAAGTCACAGAGGACTCCCTGCGGCAGGAGCTCCATCTCGTCGGCCCGCTGCAGACGCGGCTACAGCAGCAGGGTTAGGGATAGACCGCTAGCATGGTGCCATCGGCTGCATCGAGCTAATTTATTAGTGACAACCCGCCCTCTTGGGGACCGGGGGAAGGTCAACCTCGGCTGCAGGGAGTCTCATACAGGCCTGGGCAGACTCTCCGCTTCCTTTCTCGGGCGCTTCCTTCCATTTTGTTCCCTCCTCCTCTTCCTCTTGCTGGCAGCTGGGCATGTGGGCTGGAGAGTAGGCAAAGGCCTTGCCTTCAACTGCCCCCGGTCACTGCTTTCAGCCTGCGCTGCCCCGCGTGGAGTCAGGGTCTCCTCCCCGACGGGGGCATCGTTCAGGATAGCGTTGAACACATCCTCCTTCCCCCCGAAGTCCAGCACCAGGTGCTTAGGGAGGAGGGAGGCAGTATCTGCAGTGGGGGTGGGCAGTCCCAGCACCTCAGCTTTGGAATGGACTTTCTTCTTTTTCAGCCCTTTTCCTTTCTTAGTTTTCCTCCCTCTCTTCTTCCCTTTCCCCTTCTGCTGGGTCTTGGCGGGGCTCTCTCGCTTGGGCCCAGTGGGCGCAGACTTCTGGAAGCTGTCCATAGCCCCTGTGACAACCTGGCCTGGGGGTGGGTGCTTTGTCGGAGGAAGTGCCCATCTGCCCGTGCTCTCTCTAGGCGGGGGGGTGCCAGGCTGGGGCGCTGGGCTGGAAGGAGCCCTGTCTGAGCCGGCTGCCACTTCGTCTATCAGTTCCCCACCAAACTCATAGAGCACCGGCTTCCGGGGCACCGCAATGGCCACGGTGTTGTACTTCTTGCACCTTGAGAGAAGAGGGACGAGAAGCAGAGTGAGGGGGGTGCAGTTTTGGTGGGGGGCAGGGGAGCACCCCAGGCTCCCTGGTCAGGACTTACCAGATGTACAGATAGGGCTCCACACACTGCTCTTTGTAGGTGAACTCAAAGCAGGGCACCTGGATCACGTTGAAGAAGGCCTGGCCCACCACGCGGGAGGCAGTGTCATTCACCTGCCTCAGGCAGCCTTTCAACCTGCAAGGGCAACGCAGAGCATCAGGCAGGGTAAGGAAGGGGCAGGGGGCCTCTCCGGCCGGGCTGAGCTGGGGCAGCAGAGGGAGGAGGTGTCACAGGGACTTCACCCACTCTTGTTCCTCACACCCTGCCTCTAAGCAAGCTATTGCGTGGTGGCCTTGCTGCTGTTATGGGGAGAGCTGTCCAGTGTCTCCAGCACAAGGCCTTGGGGCCCGAGCAGCGGGACTTGTTTGGGAGAACTGGCGGGCAGGTTTCCAAACAGGAAACAGCCAACGCGCTCGGTGACGGGGCCTGGAGATGCTGCCAGCACAGCCCAGACGGGAGTCGAGCGCTTTTAGCAGGTCTTTGACGTGGGTAGCATTGTACACCGCATCAGTTAGCTAACCTTACCCTTCTCTGGTCCCTTCCACCAGCGGATAAGCTGGTCCTATGCCACAGAGGGGACAGGCTAAGGCCTGGGCTACACTTAACAATTAGATTGACCTACAAATGTTGTGCCCTGGGTGCTGTGATTGGGTCAACCAAACCCCCAGGGCAGACGCAGTGAGGTGGACAGGCAACTTCTTCTAGCGCCCGCCTCTTGGAGAGATGGCTTCACTACGTCGATTGGAAAAAACCCTTCCGCAGGGTCGGAAGCATCTACCCTGCGGCGCTACCGCAGCACAGCTGTGTGGACACACCCAGGGGCTGGGTCTTGGCCGAGGTTACAAAGAAACCCAATAGCTCCAACCCGCTCTGCAGCCGCCTGTTCTCCAGCGCCGGCTCGGCTCCCTGCTCCGGACAGGTGGGAGGTTAGGGAAAATCCAACCCCTCGCTGCTGCCCAAGCTCGGTCACTACTTCGTGTTCAACAGAGCAGCGTCTCTCCCCCGACTCCTCCCGCCGGCTTCCCGTTGCCATCGGCTATGGGCGCCTGGAGCGGCACAGACTGGCTTCCCCGGCCGGGGCCCGTACCGCAGGTCGCAGGCGCAGTGGCTGATGGTGTGCCAGCGGAGGTTCCGGTAGCCGTACTTGGCCGTGAAGGGGTGGATGACGTGCTGACAGTGGTCGTGTTCCCGGCAGCACTCGTCCGTCTCTCGATGTTCTCCTGAGTGGCCGAGGGAGAGAAGGCCTCAGCCCCCCGCGCCGCACAAGAGCAGCGCGCAGGAGCTGGCCCCAGCTTCAACGCCCGCGGGCTGCCCGCTCTGGGGCTGGCACGGCTGAGGCACCAGGCACCTGGGCTCTCGGCACATGTAGGGCCCACCTCCCTGCTGCTGCTAGCTGCCAACGCTGGGTGCTCTGCCCCTGCTGGGGGGCACCAGTTCTGGGGCGGGGGGCATGGCACCAACCGCCTTCCAAACTCACGGACGGCCCTGCCCCTCCCTCTTATCCTCGCTCCCCTCAAGCACCCTGCACCTCAGCCTGTGCACACCCCCAAACACCCACACATGCTGCCAACACCCCCAACCCCCCATGCACCCCAACCCCCACACCTCCCACGGACACCCCCAAAAAAACCCACACCCCCAACCCCCCCACACCCAACAACCCCTAACAAACCATACCCACACCCCCCAACCCCCCACACCCCAAAGACCCCTCCCCCTCCTAC